CCACACATACTCACAAAAGAGATTTATTCACATGGTGCCACCGCAAACTTATCTTGTCCCAGTCTGAACTGGTTTTGGTATCAAAGAGTAAAATGTTCATCTTGGGGAAGATCAAGGGAACTCAACTTGACTTGAATGAACTGCTGCTCGTGTGAGAGGAGGTTGCTGTCATCATGGAGGATGCTCTCACAGTCAGTGGTGTTGAAGAGGACAGCAGGGTGTGTGGCACCAAGCTGTGCGAATGTCTGACATAAGATAAATAACTGAGTTGCCATTGATTTTAAAAGTCTTTGTGACATTTTTTTCTCAAATCTGAGACTCTGCAGGACTCGAATCCCAATCCAAGGCAGTACAGAATTGGTCTGATAGACTCTGCCACTCTTGTGAATTGGACAGTATTCCTTATTTGGTCCTCAGGACCAATTGTTACCTACATACATGTATAAGGTGTTGAACATGTATTTCTCCACACAAACACAAAAGGAGTGTCATCCCTGCTACGTAGGAAAAAGTCGCTCTGAAAAAGCCCTACAATTCGGGCGATTCACAATGCAGTGCGCCACCAAGAGTTTGCCATGGAGAGTCCGTTTTTCTAGTTTACGGTCGACAAAACATGGCCCATTTGAATGAGTGTCAGTAGACAACTTGAGCTAATTTGTTATAGATTGGGGCATAGCGTTCTGCCGCCTCACAAAAAACACCACATTGATAAAAAGAAAACAAAAGGGCAAACAGATACTCAAAGCATGTACCGGTATACCTTTACAAAACTACTGACTGGAAAAATGAACAATTTCAACTGTCCCGTGCTGTGAATTTGTCGACCATCTCCCACAATGCACTGGGGAAAATGAACTCTTCGTGGCAAACTCTTGGTGGCGCACAGCATTGTGAATTGCCCGAATTCAGCTAGTTTTGACAGCTTATGTGAATACATGAGGGGTTCATAATCTAATCTTATACAAATTACCAGCAGTTTAAGATCAAATTACCTTAAAGCGCCCATGTAATGTAATTTTTTTAATGGAGTCCTTGTAAATACACCTTTGTGTCCCAATTAACCTTATTTTCAATTTTCATTTTGCTATTTTTATGGGCTTTTTGGTGCCTTTTTGGTTTTTATGCTAATGAGAATTTGCATATTTATGAGCAAAAGTGTGACGCCATTTCAGGCAGAAACTTCAATGTTGCAGCTATTTCAGCACGAACATTTGACAGAATTTTGGATATTTTGCTTTCGTAAATTTTCTTTTCTTTGGTGATTTGTTGTTTCAGTACATGACAGTAGACCAGTGAGAAAAAAATGTTTTCAATGAGCAAATTTTGGGTGTACAATTTTAACAGAAAACCTCTAAACTGAACAGTGTCTTCCTGAAATGACATCACAGCAGCAGCGCCCTCATTTGTCAGGAAAAGCATGGGACATTTTTTTTAATGTTTAAAGAAGTGCACTTTTCAATAAAATTAACCAAAAAGGGATGTCAGATACATGTACATGTAGTTTCCATACATTTAAGAGGAGTAGAAAGTTGCACAAAATATGTTCCCAAGTAAAATCCATGTCACAGGCTCTTAAATGTCAAGGAAGGAAGGTTAAATCAACGGAATGTTGCCAAATGCATAAAACACTCGAGAGATAATAAACCATTTTTTTTTTTAAAGAATCGAAATTTGAGACTTAACTGGAAGTTATCGTTGAAAGTATTGGAGATGGAATAAAAAGGAATGGTGCAACAGGGCTTTCTCATTGCCATGATGTCATCAAACCAGAAGTTAACCTGTGCAAAACATAAACAGTTAAAAATACAGGTTTTGATTTTAACTTAATTAAATTCCTTTTTACTTGCATGTAATGTTCAATGTGACTGGCTCCACAAAAAAGGGCATTATGTTGCAAAAGAGTGAAATTTAGTTATACATGGTTGGAATGCCCACAATGTAAGCTTTCATTTGGTATAAAATAGAACTCCATAGCCCCTTCCAGTCTGGAGATATGATGTATTTGCACATTAATAACTTCCTTGGAATTCAAATTACACAACTGAGAAAACAGGCTTTGAAATAACTGGCGTTGTTGTAGAACATCAGAATGATGCACACAAAATGGTTGGGTTTTTTTCTCACTTTTCTGTGAATGAAACCTGAAACTGTAGGTATTAAAGATGTCATTCATGATAAAAAAAGAAAATCACATTTCACCCTCTCAATGTTGAGCGGGCCATTACACAATAATGCTCAGCGCGACTTAATACCCTTTTTTTTGTGGAGCCGGTCACTCAATGTGAAATGTGTTCATGAAGTTTGTTCCCATATTTCATGCGTTGAAAGAAGATAAAACACCACCACAATGCCCCAGACCTTAATTGGCCCTTCTAAAGTTCTAAAAAAAACTGGTGACTGAGTTCCCACAGGCAGTAACCATTTATCAGTCTTGACATTCTGACTCCCCTACTGGGAAATATCCCTTTTGCTCACTGGCAAGGTAGCCGAGACAGAGAAGGAACATGATTAAATTCCGCCCTTCTTATCATGAACTGACTGCACCCCCATCAACCCACGGCTGACTCTACAGTCTGATAGTTTCTTTTTTTCCTAGAAATATGTCTGGTCTGCGGTTAGTTGTCTGTCCTGACTAATGGGCAGGGTGGTCACAACATTCTGGGTACAGAATCACTCATTGCAGCTGACACTTTTCATATGCAAAAAGGAAAAACTAAAAGAGCTACATGTATATGTCTGTACATGTATCGGTACATGAACAGAGCAAGGGGCTTTTCAGCATTTTTTTTTCAAGTTTCAGCTTTTAAGCCTTGTCATTCATGTATATGAAAACACAAAAACGGTATGGGGATCTGGCAATTTTGTTTTTTAATTCAGAGAAAATCACACGAGGACAGTACATTGTGACTGGCAAAGTTAATATTTCTATTGCATATTTCATTTTCGTGTGCAGTAGTTTGACTTAATGGGACCGTGTTCATCCTATATTAAAAGATCTGTCTGTCTGTCTGATGTCTGTCTGATGTCTGTGTGTCACGTTTTTTTGTCAGGAGTGTGCAAAGCATTTTATGCAGGTCCTTAAATATGCTCCGATTTCACATCCTCTGAAGTCACGGTTGGCATGTGATTTTAAATGGTTTATTTCTCCTGTTCTGCTTCTTTGGCAAATTTGTTTCTTTGAGACTTTGAATAATGAAATATTAAAACATTATCTCTATGAAAACAATCCAAAACGTATCGCTATTACGCAAACCATAACGTTGATGATGATAAATGATGTTCTTGAGGGGATAATGAATACTTCAATGGGCCTTATCACATGCAAAAGTCTCCCGGTAGTTCCCTGTCGGTATGACAACACAGCACCCATTGTCTATTACAAATCGTTTTTCCACAAAATATCTGCACTTTCGTTCACCCAAGATGTTTTCAGATCTTAATTTTGAACATTCGTTTCCACTTACAACTTTTTAAAACCTGCAAACAATGCAAACTTTATGACTACTCCACCCAGCTAGTGCGTCATCCCGCTAGTAGGTGTAAATAAAAAGCTTGGAATATCTGTAATTTACATGCCTATTGAAATAGAAGTCAGGATTAAAAAAAAATGGAGTTCATCCAGTGACATACATGTAGGAATGGCCAAAGTATCGCTGTTGTATTCAAATGACTTTCAGTGCTGCACACAGTGTCAACAACGAAGAAAGCATTAACTGTTTACATTGTACATCATTATTGTGACCTGAGAATGTTGCTGTAAACATTATTGGTACATTACACATAAATACGTGTATGTATGTCAGGATCACATTAATGTTTATAATCAGCATATCCAAGTTACATTTACCTGTACATGTAAGGGGCCGTCCGACGTTTTCAACATGTTCATCGTCATACAAAACGTACAACAGGGGGAGGGGGGTTGTGCCACGTACGACTTTAAGAGTTGTTTTAAAATGTAGATATTTCTAACGTAATACAAAACTGGAAAATAATAAGTTTGAAAAAAAAAAACGGAAAAAATCATGCAGGTCTTCTCATTTTTATTTTGCAGTGAAAATTATACGCCCGTTGAGCTCACGCCCGCAAATCTAATGCCCCATAGGTCTGACGCCTCATAGGTCCGATGCCTCACAGGTCCGACAATTAAATTTACTTTTATTTCGGTCCAAAAGTCCGACGTCTCATATTCCGATGCCTCGTTTCTCCAACAGCCATTATTAATGAATACAAACATCGCGTAAAATGTCAGAATGTTAGCGCCACCAAGTTTTACAGTTACCGTAGAGATCACACATTCACATTAAGGGATGCTCCACGCGTCGTTCAGTAATTCTGAAGCAAACTCTCAAATTTCTTCCAGTAGCGCACAAGATGCAGCAGGACTTTAGTGCAACTTCACTGGTCAGCTCTTTTGTGGTGTGAAGTATGCGTGAGACTGAGAATGAACCGTAATTGCCTGCAGAAGTAGCGCATGCGCGCTAGTTTCCCCCAGTTTTCGGGGGGAAATTTAAAGCAATTGGCCTAGACGTTGTTTCTCACGGGTTCGTTGGTGATTTGGTTGGTCGTGATAACGCCGTCTCGTGGCCGCGGGTTATCAAGTATCAAACAAACAACGTCTAGCTCCCAGACTATCTTTGCGCAATGAGAACTGCAACATCAAACGCTCAGTCTCATGTCCGGCAGGACATCAGAACCTTCAGTTATCAAAGGTTACATCGCAGTGATTTAATTTATTTCTCACTCGGTAATTTACAACCATATATCTTTTTGAGTTATTGGCGATACAACAAAACAATTGTTGACTGCTGTGATGTGGAATATGCCGTTTTTAACCCCCTCGGGCCTCGGGGCGCATGGCACCCTAAGCCTTTAAAAACGTCATATCCCACATCACAGCAGTCAACAATTATAGCGTTATATATTATCACATGTGTAATGAACTAAAACCAGACAAATTTTTATAACGTTTCTTTGATATTTTTTGTTGTAATAAATAGGAAGAAAGGCCAAATATCAGGAGTCCTACCCACTAGTGCGAGACGTCCGTAAGACATCCGACCGCAGTGTTCTTACTACACCAGGTGCTGACGACATAACCACAACGCTACAAGATAGGAATGCCACTCACCATGATGGTAAGTAAGATTCGGTTAGCATTTAAGTTCATCAACAGTTACGTGGGTACTTTGATCTCAAATTGAGTGTTAAGTTTTGATCTGAAGGGCAATTCCACGGTTACTTACGTTACATTTTTGATGTACTTTTGAGTTTCCTTGGGCTGTAATTACCTTACTGAAAAGGTTTAATAACTGTTATCCCCATGGTAGATAGAGTAGACCTAGACCTACCTAAGCACCAAAGATGACATCCAGATAAATGTGTTATGTATGATAAATAAGACGCACAAAATCGGTTACTCACGTTACATTTTCGTAACGTGAGTAACTGTGTTATGTATGATAAAAAAGACGCACAAAATCGGTTACTCACGTTACATTTTTGTAACGTGAGTAACTGATTTTGTACGTCTTGTTTATCATACATAACACATTTATCTGGATGTCATCTTTGGTGCTTAGGTAGGTCTAGGTCTACTCTATCTACCATGGGGATAATAGTTAATATTAAACCTTTTCAGTAAGGTAATTACAGCCCAAGGAAACTCAAAAGTACATCAAAAATGTAACATGAGTAACCGTGGAATTGCCCTGAAGTATTCTGAACAGTTTTCTTGAGCGGGATGACCTGGATGTTGAATCAGTGACCTTGCAGATCACATGACTGCAAGGTCAAGGGTTCAATAACTGGGTCATCCTGCTGATGAAGACTGGCAATCTCAATCAAAGCACAGAAATTTTTTGTGTTGAGATGAATAACCCACACTCCATTTGAAAGTGTTTTTTTTTTATTTGAAAACTAGTAATGAGAATTTTGGACACTCTTTGGACAGGAAGGTACTAAGTGAAGTAATTTGGGTGATTTTAAAATGATTTGCCTGGAGTATTGATTTGCACAAGTAATGGCAGCAATTAATGTTGCCCGTCCAGATATCAAGTTAACATCAAACCAGAAGTGACGTTGATTTTTATCTGCACATGTAATGAAATGCAGTACTCAGATTACAAACCATTGACGTCGGCAACCATCGTATGGATAGTAACATTGTTGAACAAGATCTGACCAAAACTACACACCTGGGCCCAATTTCATAGCACTGCTTAACAGTAAGCAGGAAAGTTGTGCTTACTATAACAGAAAATCATGTTGCTGCTTAAGCACTATTTCACGCTAACGGTTGCGCGCGCATGGAGATTTCTATTGTTACGTCACTGATTTAAGCAAAGTTTTCTTCTGGGGTTAAGCGTGCTTTTGCTGTGCTTACTGCTTAACAGTCCCTATGAAATAGATGGAGGCTCGGTAAGCACAAAGTCGGCTGTTAAGCAGCGCTATGAAATTGGGCCCTGATGAAGTTGGCTCACAGGAAAAAAACTGATTCAACTTGAAAGACAGTTTCGGTTCCAGTGCAAATTTGAACATTTCCCTATTGTAATATTTACTGATTCATGACGTGGTCAAATAACACTCACGTGTATGAATACCATGCTTGATCACACCAGCTTTCTTCCAATTTCACTAATGTACGATTTGATGATGAATAATAAATAATAGTTCAAATAAAAATACTATTGTCGTGTCTTGTGCAAAAACATTGTACCTCAGTTTTCAGTCTTTTTTAATTTTGTACAGCACATTAAATAAAAAGATAATTTTAGGAAGATAATTTAATCAGAAGCTTGTTCAATTTGTTCAGGTCTTTGTTATCCCCTGTGATTTGAGATAAAACAGACTTTAAACGAATGAGATCAACATACGACATTTTAGCTTCAGAGGATGCGCTACGTATGTATCTTTTTGTCAAAATGTCGTATCTCGTCGAGATACGATGTTTTTTGTATAAACACACACCAACGTCCCATATACTGAAGCATGAAATTCATTCATTTCCCAAGCAGGACTTAAAATCGGTTAAAATTTCGAAATATTTTTACTATAGCCCCGAAACATTTTGGAATGGAACAACATGATTGTGTTAAACTTTTCTAAGGATATTGTTAATAATTCCTAATAGCAACTTATTCAGTGTACGAATACTCTTCAGTTTAATATTTCTTGTATAAAAAAAATGTCCACTTACTTCATTTTTCATTACCCAAAAAAATTTATTGTGACTTTTTTCTAATTCTGATAATTTGGCTTGAAAAAAATGCAAGAAACAAATCGATGTCGTATCATACTAGAATGTGAATTTTGACAAATTTTAACATACGACCGTTTTGCACTAGCACGACGATATGGCATTTTGCATTGAGGTGTGAAATTCAACGTTTTAGTATGAACATAAGGCCCGCAATGGAGATATGACGTTATTAATTACATACATGCGTCATAATGACACAATATTTTTTCAATGAAATTTTCCTGTAAGAATCTATAGGTAAAAAGTGACAAAAATACACAAAAAGCTGAATTAACTACGTTTTTGCACTGACATGACGATATACATTGTAGAATTCATAAAATACTTCTGTGAATGCCTGCAAAGGTTTTAAACACAACAGTTTATGGTAAAACCCCACTAAAAGTATATATTGATTTTTTTTTTTACGATTGATTGCAAAATGTTTTTAAGTGTCCCACATTTTATGATATGACACATGGCAAATTTCTCACTGCATGCACTTATACAGAATATTTCATCATGAAAGTTGACGATGAATTACAAAGATTAAATGAGCTGAAACTCTGTGAGCCTTTTAACATATGAATACACGTACAGTATCATTTTCAGACATTATTGCTGGTATATCGCTGTATTTTTTTTGGGGGGGGGGGGTCAAGTGTCTGGAGACAGGATGCATACATTATTTTTTATTACAATGTTGTCACATTTTAATGTTCAGAGGACGCAATTTAATTTGTAAACATTACTCCACAAAAGTGTGAAGACCGTTGGACTTTCAGTCTAAAACATAAACGGTTCGTTATCTGTTTGTCGATGACTTTTCCAATTTGATAAATTAATCTTGTGGATCTTTAGGGTTAAAAAAAACATGTTTTTGAGCTTCAAGTAATGTTCTGTTAACTGTTATTTTTTTGGGGGGGGGGGGGGTTTCAAGTGTCCTTTTTTTTTTTTTTTTTTTAGGGGAGGAAGAGATACAGCATACCGGGTTTGGGTTGGTACCAGTACCTGATGTCGGTGTTGACATGATCATAGGTCCTAAGCAAACAAGCTTTGTTTGTGAATTGTCTGGGCTATGTTGTTGAGGTGAAGAAAACAGGACATGGAGTAACACTTACTGTTTAGTTTGGCTTAGGAAGTATGGAGAGGGAACTGAAGAGGGTTTGATCAGTCGTCAGACAAGGCCTTGTGGGGGGTGGTGGCTGCTAAATCAGTGTTTGGGGAGGGGGAGGTGACAACAGTGTCATATTTTGTAGATTACCATAAAAGTTTTCCCAATTCATTTTTACTAAGACAAGTTTGCGATAGCACCATGTGAATAAATCTCTTTTGTGAGTATGTGTGGTTCTGAAAAAAACCGGAGGGACTCAACATTTCGAACAGTATGCTCACGCCTCACTGCACTCATCCTTAGAACATCGCATCATCGTTGGAATCCCTCATTCTCCTGCCGACGGGCAGAGCATACCGTTCGAAACGTTGAGTCCCTCCGGTTCTTTTCAGAACCACACATACTCACAAAAGAGATTGATTCACATGGTGCTACCGCAAACTTGTCTTAGTATCTTTCCACCATGCAAACCTTCAAATCTTATCTCAATTCGTTTTTGTTTTCCGTGGTTTTATCATGACTGAAGGTGACCTTGATTGAGTGTAAACATGGGAGGTTATAAACGCACCAAGGAGCCTCATCTTTATGCATGATCTGAGGAGGGTGTGTTGTGGGTTTTAAGAGGGATATGGATGTGGATACCGGTAGATGGGTTGACCATACATGCATTGATCTGGAGCTGTTCCTCGTTACTGAGTTTTGAGTGAATTAAATGAAATGCATGTTGAGCATTTATGGGTTCTTTAGCTGATGTTTTACGCAAGTGTTGACACAAATTTTACAAAGTCTGGATGGACACAGGGAAATGTTGAGTTTCAATATGGGGGCTAAAATAGTCACTTTTACGTTGATCGTGCATTTATGCTTTAGGCCTATAGATAAAGTACCGTACATGTTCACAGACCGTTCACAGACAATTCACAGGTCACACTATGAATTATACGGACGATACCAAAACTCGATGTCCAGTTAGACTGAAATGATGGAGGTTTATTGAGCATGGACATTGCCAATGCCAACAAAAGCTATCAATAAACAGCCAGATTGGGGGTAAGGGAAGGGGTCTGGGTTCAACAAAGCATGTTTTGATTAAAAAGTACATGTAGTTCAGTATTTATTTAAATTACCGGTAAAACAAATTCAGAACAAAGAGAAACCCTCCCATTTTTGGCTGAAGAGTAGGCTGCAGGCAAAAAAAATGTCAAAAGACTATGATGCTTCTGGTGAGAATGAGGCCATGTTGGCTGTTGGCTGTTGGCTGTTGGCGTAAAGCCCAGACTTGTGGGATAATAAGAGTGTCTGGCACAGACAAAACAAATAGACACAATGGAATGTTATTGAATGCCAGGTGGCGGAGTATTTATAGCTCAGTATAATGGGACATTCACGTGAGCACTCGCAGGCACATTCATGTGGGATATGAAAGGTGTTTTTTTATGAGGTTAGCGAGGAAATATGAAGTGGATCTTTAAAATTGTCACAAAACCGTCATTGTCCGTTTAGTGTTAAAAGCCATTTTGATAAGATGAACGTCACTCATCAACAAACATCTGCCAGTAAGTGCATGCATACATACACGTACGTACATGTACAATACTGCATGAGCAATTCAAGATGGGAAAAGACATATCCAATACAACTTCGTACTGTACATGTAATATTAAAGTTAAAGAGGTTGTGGAATGCTGAAAGTCGTTTTGTTTTTTATATTTTTTTTTATTGTAGAGTAGACCCATATATATCATAATGACAAACTCCCATTCTTTTGTAATGTGCGTTTATAT